GTCCATTTCAACTCATTCATGCCTAGAAAACTGATCTTTATGTGCTACATTTCATTTTTGACAACTTCCAATTTTCCTAGATCCACACTTTGTACATTCCATGTTCTAAGTACTAATGGATGCTTGCATCTGTTTCTCCTCATACTGAATTGTGCCCTATCAGAAAATGAAGGTCCCGAAAGCTTTACTCCATTTCCATTAGCATGGACAACTCTATTTTGAGGAGGCAGCTCTTCCCCAAATGTAGGCTGAGTACCTTCCAACCTGAAGGATGTATCTTCCAGCACTATATTTGATAACATTCTGCTGCTATTCATAATATTAGGATACTAAGAATTATTGTGGACAATGATGAGTAGTTTAAGCAAAAGTGTTTTTTACACAGAAAATTCATAAAATCATGTTCTCATAAGACACTTAGTGCTAAATTTATGTGCATAATTACTTCATTTGAGAACAATACTGAAGAGGCTTACAGCTAGGCTGGTAAGAGAGCTATTTAGTGATGTTGTTGTTGTTGTTGTTGTTGTCAAGTGCCGTTGAGTCGATTCCGACCCATAGTGACCCTGTATAGGGTTTCCAAGGAGCAGCTGGTGAGTTTGAGCCACCAACCTTGCAGTTCAAACAGCTCTGCAGTCTGATGCATTAATCCACAGTACCACACCAGGACTTATAATCAAGGTACTAAGCATATCTGATCTATGATTATAAACCTTGTTGTTTTTAAATGCTGTCAAGTTGGTTCCAACTCTTAGCGACCCTATATAGGGTTTCTGAGGAGCAGTTGGTAAGTTTTAACCCCTAGCCTTGCAGTTAGCAGTCCAGCGCTTATCCTACAGTGCAAAACCAGAACTTAGATTACATTAATTCAAAGAAAAAATACAAGTTTGAAAACGATATGTATCATTAGATTGTTGTAGCTGTTATGTGCCGTTGAGTCAGTTCTGACCCATAGTAACCTTGTACAGGATTTCTGAGGAGGAGCTGGGGAGCTTGAACTACCGACCTAGTGTTTTCACATCATGAACTTCAATGTTTTCACATCTTGAACTTCCAAAGAGATTTGACCCAAGCAAAGTTTCCAGGAGGCATCTGAAGGTCTCTTATCCAAGGAGAATACCACATTTAAACTTAAAAGACAACAATATTCACTAAAATGTGTTAAATATATGCAATTCTGATCAATTAAACTGAGAATTATTTTGCTTAATCATTAGCTGGTTGTGGTTGCTGTTATGTGCTGTGGAGTCATTAGGTTACTACTAGATTAAGTACTCAACCTATTAAGTAAGAGGTTAAAAAAGATGTTCCACTGCTTTCCTGCTTCCATGGCTTAGTTTTATAGCATGCTTTCGTCAAAAAGAAGTGTTTACCATCTCCCACTGTCTAAATTCTAATCACTGCAGAAACCACTTCTCTTTTAACATTCCTATTCCACTCAACCAGATTTCTTCCTTTCAAGATTCATAGCAGCTGATTTGTACGACGATTGTAATATTTGCTACTATTTGCTACCATCTGCTCTGCATTTTGGATCCTTCTCATCTTTGTGACTCCTGCAGCACCTAGTAAAGTACCTCTTTGCCTGGAGAAGATGATTCAAAAAATATATGCTGAATCAAAAGAAAAGGAGACACATAAACCGTTAACACTCACGAAATGCCCTCTTGACCATCAAGTTGGTAATGCTTCTGAACAGGTAGGAGCTCTTGTTCATGTTCTTCATCTGATGTGCCGTCAAAATCCTGCTCATTTATCAAGGGTCTCATTACGTCCATATCTTGTAAAAAGAAAAATAAAGTACTTAATGATTGTTTTTTAAAAATTGGAATATATCTGATATAAATGAATTCAGAAGCATTATAAAATATCACTTGTCTTTACTACTTCCATCTTAAATTAATCCATTTTTAAAACCCTGTGTTTCAGTATATTTAAAAAAGAAATAACTAAGCTTGTTGTGTTGTGTTGTGTTGTGTTGTGTTGTGAAGTGCCGTCGAGTTGGTGCCGACCCATAGTGACGCTGCATAGGGTTTCCAAGGAGCAGTTGGTGAGCTTGAACTGCCGACCTTGCAGTTAAACGGCTTTACAGTCTGACGCATTAAACCACAGTGCCACACCAGGACTCTGGTGGTTATTCTTTTGGCCTAGCCAATGTAAAGTAAAAAGCATATGTAATGCAAACTATTTTCTAGGCATTTCCTGAAATTTTAAGTTTGTGGTAATCATGGTCTCTTAGCAATGCAAAACAGAAATTCAAGAGTGGTCTCATTTGTGCTTTACATTCACTCCTTAGAAATCCTATAGAGGGTTGCTAAGAGTCAGAACTGACTCAACAGCACTTAACAACAATCATACGTACAGAGATGAAAAAGTTAAGGCAGCTACCTTTATCCCTGTGCCAACAGTAACTCAGCACTTAAATCTTTTCATAAAATTAAAGCAATGTTTAAGACACTAGAAGATTCTTAAAAATAGTCTCCTTTGAAGTTATTTAAATATTCTTCCTCAAATAATGTAACTAACATGTGGAACATAAAATTTGAGATCTAATAAATTATGATAAATTCTAAATTCCTGGAACTCAAATTAAAGAGCATCTCCCATAAGAAATATTCCCTAACTTTTGTTCTTTTTCAAACCCTTTAAAACCATGAGGACATTCTCCAGATAGTCTTCAGAATCATTTCCTTGTTTCGTGTTCCCCAGCATTAAAAGTGACATAGCACAATCACTGTCCTGGGATTGGGCCAGTAGCAGTTGTCAACCAATGGGACTGGGGAGGGGGTGGTGGGAAGGCATGGCATACTTCAGACCTGTGCACAGTCAAGCAGTGAAGCAGTGTTTGCTTGGTATATGGTCTACTGAAATATCTAACCACCATCTCACATGTACTCTAGAAATCTATTTACATATTGTTTGCATGAGCAGACACTACTAAATTTTACTTTAAAAAAATCTTGTAAAACCATCTTTATTAGTTTTACTAGTTTGGTTTCAAAACATGTTATTATTTTCATTCGTAACACATTCCACTGCCCTTGATCACTCTTGAGTTCACTTGGTGTTTTGAGGGTTTGTTTTTTTAAAAAATGTTTTATTGTGAATTATGTGATAGTTTACATGGGAGAACATTAGTTTTACATTCATCCTATCATATATATCGTTTCATTGCATTGGTTACAATCCCCTGCATGCATCATCAACCAACCAAAGAGTATATCCTGCAAGCCTGCCCCTGGTCATCAGCACACAGTCCCTCTCCTTCTCTGGGTCTAAAGTCTCCAGCTGCTCCATCTCTCCACGTCATCGTCTCTGCCTCCATCTTTGGCATCATTGCTTCTCTGGGTAGGGTTCCGCTCTCCCCTCTTCACCATTGATCCCATGGACCTCCGCTCCTAGACTGCAAAGTTAATCACTCCCATCCTTGCTAAAAAAAAAGTCTACCTTTACATTTTCAACCCTCACAATCAGTTCTGATAAAAATTATTCACTATTGTATCACAAGAGACCTACCTGCATTTCCTTTCATCAGCCCTGCCTACATAGATCGGATACTACTCAGTGGAGATTCTACCTTCCTCCACATCCTCTGGATTGAGGGTTGTTTTGCTGATAGTTTTTTAGCCAATTATTCATATTATCAGTTACTTGAATTTCTAGTATCCTTCTTCCTGGGGCTGTGCAGCATGTTCCACACAGGACTAGGTAGAGTATCTGATCTCAGTAAAGATAGCTAGCACTGCCCATCACTGCATTAACTATCAAACAATCTGTTATATGAAGTACACTGTTCAAAAGATCATACCAGCAATGGAAACATCAAGAAAACGGTAAGTTTTCTCCTAACATTAAAAAATATTAGATCTAAATGATATCTTTACTTTTAATGGCATCACAGAATTTATTTTTAATATCTTTTCCAGTAAACCTGAAAATCTGATATTGTTAAAATTATCTCTATATATTGGTTCTGTAATTCACAGAATCCAGTTTTAAAAACAGAATTATAGGGTATACTCAAATTGGCATGTTTAAGTAGCTTGAGATCAATTACTCTTAACAAATTGATATTGGTTAGTAAATGTCTTAATTTTGCTCAACATTGTAATCACCTATGGCTTTACAGAGAACAGTGGCCTCTATTCTCTTGCTTCATTATGTCTCAATTTATGTGGTCTTAGAAAGGAGCTCTGGTAGCGAATCGGGCTGCGAACCTGAAAGTCAGTGGTTCGAAACTACCAGCCACTCCGCGGGAGAAAGATGAGGCTTTCTACTCCCGTAAGGATTTACACCCTCGGAAACCCTGTACAGGGTCGCTATGGGTAGGAACCGACTCGACGGCACTTAACAACAACAACAACAGAAAGAATAAAAACTACAAAATAGCTTTCTGTCTCATCTTCTTTTTAAAACTTAAAAAATATGTATTACTCCAGGAAGCATCTCTATAATTAACCCTCAGAATGTGATACAGAAGAGTGAATTTTTAAAAGTTGAAACTTTCTTAAGGAAAAAAATAATCATCTTCTTAACAGTGTTATAAATTTGGGGAAGTGCATACTCATGTAATATTGTGATTCTACCATTAAAACAAAACTATCCAATGTGACACATCAGTAGCTAAATTATAGCAACATATGCAGTTATATCCCTAAACTTTATATAAACTTCACTTTAAAAAGAAATTTTCATTTAAGACTTTCCCTAGTCTACAGGACAGGATAGAAAAATTTTTGTGGAAAAATTTCATTATCTTTCAATCCCATCATTCTGTGAACCTATGTATTACTAAATTGTCATTTTATAAGAATAGATACAAAGGGACTGCAGAAAGTTCATGGAAAATGGAATTGAAAAATACTGAAATTTTTCCACAGTTTTTAAGCCGTCTCATATACTTGTTAAACCAAGTAAACTGAGATTAGGTAAAGCAATTAGGTTTTAGGGCTTGAATAGAATCATGTTTTAGCTTGATACTCCTGAATCTATATTAAAAAGACTCCTAAACTACAAATCTTTAGGAAAGTGATATAGTAACACAACCACAAAGTTGCATCTTTAAGTTTAATAGTCTAATTAGAAGATTCACTTAAGTGTGATTCTCTGTGGATGAGATTTATTAGTAAACAGCATCAACTGGTCATTTGTAACCATTAAAAGCTCCAGGAAATAATAAACATAAGAGGCTAAATTTTACTTTTGTTCCAAGGTTAGGCATATAGTATAGGAAAATGAATCTATACTATGTTGTATTTTTTTCCTATATTTGACTTATTGATCTTTTAGGAGAGGTATTAGTATTGGCACAGGTGAAAAACGAAGATGTCTGCGGCAGCAATCATTCACAGCCTCAAAAATTCAATACGGGGTCGCTATGAGTTGAAACCACCTAAACGGCACTTAACAATATTAGTTCTGACAATGGCCATGAGACTAAGTAGGAGGGCATTGCACGCTTGAGAACATACTACCTGTTTGAGAAACTTTACATTGTTTTAATATGGCTAAAACAGAAGTCCTGGCACGGTGCTACAGGATAAGCATGGGATGGCTAATTGCAAGGTCAGCAGTTCAAACCCAGCAGTCGCTCTTGGAAACCTTATACAGGGTCACTATGAGTCAGAATAAACTCAACAGCACTTAAAAACAACAAAACATAAGTGCATGTATATGGCAAAAGATTAAACTGGAAAGCATTGAAAGATTTTGTGAACTGTGTTTAGGAGTTGGACTTTATCTTTTATATGCTGTGAAAAAAGCCAAAGAAGGATTTAATGTTTAAATGATCAGATCTACTATCATCCTTACAGCAATGCAAAGGATCAATCAGAAGAATAGGCAGCACTAAAACCATAGAGATCAATTAGAAGTCGGTTACGAATCGGGCTGCGAACCTTAAGGTCAGCGGTTCGAAACTACCAGCCGCTCTGCGGGAGAAAGATGAGGCTTTCTACTCCCGTAAAGATTTACACCCTCGGAAACCCTGTACAGGGTCGCTATGGGTCGGAAACGACTCAACGGCACTTAACAACAACAACAACAACAGGCAAGAGAAAAAAAAGGAGTGGTTAGTTGCGGAATAGAAACAAGACTTGTTGACCAATTGCATATGAAGGTCAAAGGAGTCAAGGATGCCTCCTGGATTACTGGCATGGAGAAATTTGAATGGATGATGTTGTCACTAAGAAAGAAAATACAAGGAGGCAGTGTCAATAATCCATACCACAAATTTAAAGGTATAGGTTAAATCCTACTCCTGGAATCCTGGTGTGGTGCTGTAAGATAAGTACTCGACCATAAAGTCAGTTTGAATTGCAAGGTCTGTGGTCCAAGTTCACAAGCCGCTCCCCGGAAACCCTATACAGGGCCGCTATGAGTTGGAACTGACTTGTCGGCACTCTGGTAGTGTAGTGGTTCTGAATTGGGCTGCGAGCCACAAGGTCAGCAGTTCAAAACTACCAGCTGTTCCATGGGAGAAAGATGAGGCTTTCTGCTCCCGTAAAGATTTACAGACTCGGAAACCCTGTACAGGGTCGCTATGAGTCGGAACCCACTCCACGGCACATAACAACAAGAACAATAAAGTTAAATCTCAGCCTTAGTAGTTCTGTGAACCTGAGCTAGTCACTTGACCTCAGTTTATCCATAGTAAACTGGTTCTCCTTCCTTAGTGATCTCTATTCTCTTGCCTCCAGCCTTCACACATGCTATTCCCTTTTGAATCCCACTGTCTTCCTACTCTCACTTCTTTCCTCCTAACTTCATCCAACTACTGTA